TGTGCCATTGCCCAAGCTGAGTCTCTTCGCTACAAGCTACTTGGTGGCCTTGCTGTGCGGAGGTACTTTTTGTTTTTCCATCCCATAATTATTAGAAGCATTATTATTATTGGTGTGTTATTGATTTGGCATAGAAATGGATCTATGTTTTATGATAATGATAGAATAAAAAGATCACCGATTCCTTATTTTCTTGCGAACAGCTCTGATATATGTAGTATTTTGATCATTCTATCAATCACATTTAAGATATGACTTGTAGTTTCATAAGACTTGTTTTTTTTTTTTTCCTGGGTTCTTATGTATGTCATCTACAAAGCAGATTGGTGTTTTGGTGCCAACTTTGTGTCGGATGGTGACAATATAAATTGATCTCTTCCATTTGATAATTATTGTGGAATCATTTTGTTTCGCACTGTAATCATAGGGAGGGACATGCTGCTGCCTGGTGGTATATTTAGCCTTCTTCGTCTGCAGCTTGTGATTTTTGTGTCTCTTCTTATTTTAATGTTTTCAAAGGATGAAGAGTAAGAGTAAGCCTCAATTTTATTTAATGTAAACTATGCAAATCATAAAAATATACAATCAAGTATTATCATGCATAATGTTTTTATTGAAGTACAAACAAATCACACCTATCAATTATCACTTTCTTAAATACATATCATACAAGGTTATTTTTAATATCAATAGTAGCTAGGAAGCTTGGGCACTTCGTTTGACAGAGCTTCCAATAGGGTACAATCCAAACTATTGAAAAGAAGTCCCTTCTTTTAATTTTTGTTTTTAATTTTAGACATGGGACATGCAAACATGTCTTCCTTGGGAATTTCTGTGGCAAGCTAGAGTGTGTGCGGTGTTGTGGGGTCTTTAAGGGAGATGAATAATAGAATCTTTAGGAGAGTTGGGAGTGGTCTTTCTGATGAGCGGTTTCTTGATTGTAGCTCATTTCTATAGTGGGATGTCCTTTTTTGAGCTTTTTTTTTTTTATGCCCTTGAAATAATTATAAAAGTGCTGCTTCCTTGAAATAATTACGGGGGAACAAACATTTAGGCTAGCCCATTATTATGTTCATTTCCCAATCCATTGCTCATCTTATTATGACCAAACCTAAAATTTAACCCAACCTTAAAACACCATCTGACAGGCAGAAAGAAATTGTGACGTGATGTACACTTGGTTCATTGCCAAGTCTTCTTTTTATTTTTTTATTTTTGGTATTGAATTTGCATGTTTTCAAGTATTCAAGTATTGAATAGATCAATGTATACACAATCCTCAGAAAAAATGTGCCCAAAATGCCAACGTCCTGCCTTTCCAGACGTTGACATGTTACTGCGTCCAGGCTTCTTCAATTATTATTCAAATTGACTTGTAGCCTTGAGTGTGCCTCGTGGTTTGAAAACACAGTTGTCATTAGTACATCAAACTTTTCTATTAATAATATATTTGCATATACACATGGAAACTTTATAGCTTTGAAGAATGGGCAAATCAATATTGTTCTTTTTCTTATTATTAAATTTGATACATGAACTTTGTGGTTTGTGCGTTCTTGTGGATGTGCTTGTCCTTTACTCAAGGCTGGAGCTTTCCTACGAATTTCCCTTTTATTAATAGTTTTAACAAGTTCAAAGTTCATTTTTGAGCCTATGGGGTTCCATTTTATTGATCTTCTGACTGAGCTATTATAAGTGAGAGTATCAAAATGAATACATAATATAATATGACCCATGCTGATGTATGTACTTTTTCCATCAGGGCATGCTATGGTGTCTTGAGATTCGTTATGGAAAGTGGAGCAAAGGGATGCGAGGTTAGCTTGTAGCTCAATCCATTATTATCGCTATATGAATTTATTTATTTTTTATATGGGAATGTCGACACGTTAATTCTTAACATTCAAACAGGTGATTGTTAGTGGAAAACTGAGGGCACAGCGTGCAAAGTCTATGAAGTTCAAAGATGGATATATGATATCTTCTGGTCAACCAGTGAGAGATTATATCGACTCAGCTGTTAGACACGTTCTTCTCAGACAGGTTAGGTTCGAGTCGAGTTCATACTAATAAAGCAAGCAGGCAGTGTGTTTATACGATGAAGTATAATGTTAATTGTGTGTTTTGGGTGTCCCAGGGAGTTCTGGGTATCAAAGTTAAGATCATGCTTGATTGGGATCCCAAGGGCAAGCAAGGCCCTACCACCCCTCTTCCTGATGTTGTGGTAATCCATTCCCCCAAGGAGGAAGAAGAAATCGTGCATAGACCAGCAGCAGCACCAGTTTTGAGCGCTGATATTGAGGTTGTTCCAGAAGTAGTAATAGCAGCTTGAGAGGCTTCTCATCTAGATATTCATCTCTTGGTTTGAGAGTTCTTTTTGATAATCAAACATAATGCATGTGAACAACAGTTTGTAACATTTTTTTTGCTTAATCATTATTTATTTTGGACTCCTGTTGATTTTAATCTTTTTTTTCTTTATAATTTATAAGTTTTTATTTTCTTTTATTTTCATTACGAAAATTTGAATTATTTACTGAAAAAGATCAATGTGAATAAAACGGAAGTTGAAAGATTAAAACGTGATTTTTATTATTTTAATGAAAATTGCAATAATTTTATTGCATCAACGAGAAGCCGCCATCAGATCCCCGCGCGTATATAAACTGAAGGGTTCCGACGAATGAGAGCGGATAATCATCTTTCTATTATCGGCAAGAGACTCCGATTTTTTTCTGTAATTACGCTTCATTTCCATCATCAATGCCTAATCGCTATCCCTATTCATTCGCATTGCTTCTCAATCTTGCTTTCTCTTCCATTTTCCTATGGTTTTCATTAGGTTCTTGGTGATCTTCTACATTCGTTTCACGATTCACTCTCAAGCTCTCCTGCTGTCGCGTTTTCACCGCACCGAATGCGATTCCTGCAATTGTCGCTGGTGACGTTAATTCCAAGCTTCTGGTGCAGATCCTAGATGTCAAGATGATCGGTAACGCGCAGGAGAGGTACAGCCTCTTGATCTCCGATGCCGTTAGTGCCGACGGATGGTTGTTCTCTTCTTTTGTGTTGTTAAAATCTGCGTATATGATCACATCATGGGGAAAATGGTTTTATTGTCGGTTTACGTTCTTGTTTGAAATGCTAGGTGAATGCATTAATTACTGACTGAGGTTATTAAATTTTAATCACTGACTATCTTTGTACTGTTTGGTTTAGGGTTTAGTGGCAATCTCTCATTTTCATGTACACATCATGAGAAAAAGTCCCATTGTTAGCTGTGTAAATAGTGCTGCTTTATGGGATATGCCCTCGTGATCATGTTAATTATAGTATCTAGATTCCCATTCCATTCCGACGTAGCTTTATAAACCAAGATTACTTGTAAAATGTCCAAGACAACCGTTTTCTTTCAGACTTATCAGTGAAATTGAGAGTGCTGAAACCAACTCTATTTTGGATGTTGTTAGTATGGTAACATCTACCAATCCATCAATTCCTGTGTTGAGCAAAACTGGTATGGAAACTCAAAGAAGAGTTCACAATTTGAAGGATGCATCTGGCAAGAGGTGTAGAGGAGTTGTGATTACAGATATCTTGTTCATGCCCAAATCCAAGACCATACTGGTTTGACATGGGTTTCCAGGAGTCTGGTGAAGAGATTCTAGGTGTTTCAGCCAAGGAGTTGTACATGTTGAAGTATGAAGAGCATTTTTGATCAATTTCTGTCCAGGCTCAAAATTACTGAGGGGGTGTATTGGGATGAATAGAGTGTGATATCCCACCTTGGTTGAGGAGGAGAACGAAACACCCTTTATAAGGGTGTGGCAGACGCATTGAGGGGAAGCCCGAAAGAGAGAGTCCAAAAAAGATAATATCCGCTAGCGGTGGACTTGAGCCGTTACACAGAGCGTGAAAAATACGGTTATCTGGCATATTGATCCTTTGATGTGAAAAGTGTATAAAATTTATAGCTTCAGTTTGCCAAAGAATGGTTAGACTGTAGCCAGGTTACTGACATATTGTTGAGTGATCGCAAACTGAACGTATGGCATTGTAGGTTGAATGCCGTGGTGGGCTTCGGGCACATCAAGAAGATAAAGCAAACGTGGTCTACATTTCCGGTAAAAACAAATTCTTTGCTGCAAATGGAAACTTTAGATTCAATATGTTATATAGTTTGTGGTGAATTTACAGCAGGAGCCGCATATTACACACATAACACAGAAACAACCACTACAGACAATGGAACATGAGGGACGAAGAATGGAAAATGATAAGATAATTGGTCGAATGTCATCCTCCGACACTCAGGTCCGCTTTACGGGGTCGAAATTGGAGACACCGATAATTGCACCCAAGATAGCAGTGACAACTACTCCACCGGCGGCAATACTGAGCAAGAAATTCTTGAGAGAAGGGGTAACTCCAGCTCCTGCAGCTTCAGCCACCTCAGGAAGCACCATGGAGGCCGTCAGTGCAGTTGCAGCCAATCCAGCAATTGCCTTCTCCTTCACAGAAGCCCGCACTTGGAACTTGGCGCTGCTGGATTTTGATGCAGCAATTGGCTTGTTGGAAGGCCTCAAAGGCAATGCCTTAGCGAAGGCCTCGGTGCTCCTCACTCTCTTCTGGGTCGCATTAGTAATTGGCATAGCCATTGAAACTGCGGAAGTTGAAGCCATCTGATTCTCTCTTGCCTTCTCTTTCAAACTGGATTGAAGCAGCTTTTGTTTAGGTCTCTTCCTGAATTGATTTGAGGAAATAGAGTGAGAGGATAGATAGAGGTGGTGGAAGGGTGAGAGTTAGCGGTCCAAATTTGAGATATCATGTGGACTTAGTTTCTGTGCCTCTGCCCCATGTGGCAAGTTTTGCACTTGACATTGACGATAAGATTATCTTGTTGGTCCAATCACCTTCCAGGAATTGGTTTGCAAGACGTTGCGGCAATATCCTACTCGTATTATTATTTTTTTTCTCAAAAGCATTGTGGTATACTTTACATTCAGCATTAACTTGTTAATTAATTAGGATTTGTGCACTAAAATTTCGTTTAACTTGTGTTATATGCCCATTTTTAACACAGGAATTTGAAGATTGGCTCAAGTTTCATGCTTGTTCGGTAGGGTTGCGGCTACTTCTATAGCTGTGCTGGTTATGGAAAACTGGCTTCAATGAATCCAAAGAGCTTGAGGTACATTCAAATTTGCTTATTCGCTATTAGATAAGTGTGTAGACCAGGAGAAAGTGACTTCACTTTCATTATTTAATGAAGAGATGTGGAGCCAATATGGGTTAGATGAGGCCATTAGACACACTCTCAACCCAGCGGAGTAGGGAAATTGTGATATCCCACGTTGACGGGAGAGGAGAACGAAACACTCTTTATAACGGTGTGGAAACTTTTCCCTAGCAGATGCCTTTTAAAGTCTTGAAAGAAAAACCCGAAGAGGACAATATCTACTAGTTGTGGGTTGTTTGTCGAATGCAAGAGTTTTTGGTGGCTTAAAAAATGGACATCTGAAGTACTTAGTTTCCTTAGTAATTTGGATCTGGGCCAGTATTCACCTAGGTGGACTTAAACGGGCTATCGGGCTAAGGTCTGAAAACCCAGTGGTGCGCATTTGGTTCTTCCAGTCCTCTATTTTTCTTGAACTTCTATAAGACAGAGATAAAGTAAGCCGCCAGTCCACAGCTTCCCATTACTTGCTTGGTTTGTGCCAGTTTCGATATTGAAAGATTTCTCATTCTCTCACAGTCCTTCCATGTTGTCGGTTGTTGAGAAGCACTTCTCAGTCTCCACTAACATTTGTCCTCCACATTCTCTCCTTCTTCCTCCCCTCTGCTGTCCACTTCATTCCCGTATCAAGAACTCTTCAGTCTGTCTGATCCTGCAATTATTTTTTCTCATCAGATTCCTTAATTATAACTCTCCCTTTTGTCTCCCAAATGATCTCTTCCTTCATTTCCTCCCCATAATTCTCTTTTCTTTCTTTCACTTTACAGCATAATAGCCAGTTGCTGCTCCTTTAAGTTTCTGCGATGCCGAACATAATCCATATTTGTTTTGTTCACATGGGAAAACATTCCCTTCTCAAATCATTGTAAAATCTACGATTATCAAAAGCAGGACAAAGCATTCTTGGTGGAACAGTAGCATGTCTGTAACTCCCCTGTTTTCCTCCATCTCCATTATCTGTATATTACAAATTCAACAGGAATTTCCCCTTTTTCTCACTTTCCCTTGTTTCAAGACACTAAACTTAATCAAACTCATTCAATTAACCACATCATGGCCATGATTTTGCAGCAAAATTGATAACTTGGGCAGGCAATCTCTATGAACAGCCACATTCACTGGAGATACAAAAGGATTGATGCTTTGTGCCTCTGCTCAAATCGTAGCCCGTAGGTTGTTTCTTTCATGCCACTCCAGAAACATTCAAATAAGTTCAGGTTCAAGGTTTCTATTTACTAAAACTAACAGAGACTGTACTTCATACTTGAATTGAGAGAGGGAGGAAATCTCCGAACATCTGAATCTCTTCCATTCATATTAACACATTAGGAATTATAGTTTTACATCCACCATACTACAGTACATAGGCAAGGAAAAAAAAAAAAGAAAAAGTTAATTAAAAAATTAAAATCTAACATCGGCATATCGTGACTCGGTTTCACATGTATAAGTATACCCCCAAACATCATAATCTCTATATGCGAGACTTCTCACTAGCATGGCAATGGTCGTAGATTTTGCAAAGTACAGCCTCTTTCAAACTTTAGAAAAACACCCCTTGCCAACTTTCTTCTGTTTCCCTCACAAGTATTGCTCGTGTATCCTGGCTCGATTCTCTTCCCACCACACTTTTGCATGCATCTCCCCGAACTTTTCCCGGCTACAAAATTCAAAATGGACTTGACAATAAGAATTCTGGCTACGAAAATGAACTTGAATAAAACAAATCATGCTATTCCCCGACATAATGAACGCTGCTAGAAAGCCTGTGGGTCACCTGGCCTAGGACTACCTTTAGTTTAAATTATCTCCAAACGTACAAGAGCATGAAAGTAGACTAGCTGGAGGGACCATTAGAGCCATAGCAACCCATAAGACAGAACATTTGAAGAGATTTACAGGATATCTAAAAGTGTTATCTAGGGCAGAGGAATGAGTATTTTTATGACTATAGCATTATATCACCTCATAAATAGGCAGAAAGAGATCTTAATGACCATGATATATAATTGGCTTTTGATTGATTTTGGATCTATACTCGAGAAAAATATACTGGGTGGCAATATTAACTTCATGATATTTAGTCGATGTTTGGAAGACTTTCTGAAAGCAATGTTCGTTAACTACTTCCAAATCAAGATTATGTAGTATCTTCATACCTGAATCTGACTCTTCTTAGTTCCCTTTTGCCGCCAGGCAATGCTCTGATTGTAATATAAACCCCTGGTTCATCCTGTTCAACCCATTCAGACTCAAGATCACTAGCATTGCTGATGGATAGCTCTCCTGAACGATCTGCATCCCTAGATGAACTGCTTCTCATGGATGCATCAATGGAAGATGTTTCCGTCTTGGCACCACTGATGCTAGAGAGTTTCGGAGTAGAGGTCAGACCTGAATCTTGGTACTGGCGATACTGCATTGGCTGGTATTCAAGTGAATCTGAGGATGAATAGCTCGCCCCAGCTCCAGTAGGACGGTAGAGATTGCGAGGCAAGCGTTCTGTGGTTAGTGGAGGTGTCACAGGGCTGTTCTCTATAGATTCAATTTTTGAGCTCTGTTGTTTTGGGGGGAAAGGGGAGCCTCATCAATAGGATATAGCAACATAGATAATATGAACAAAACAAATTTAACACTCACAGCCTCATCCTCTTTCTATAATTATATAGAAGGTTACCTCATCCTCAGATCTCGGTGGGGTAGGAAGAGGAAAAGCTTGGCGGTCGAACCTCTGGACATTGTATAGTTCCATAACTTTATCATAGTTCTCGGCCCACCATCTCTGAGCTTGCCATTTATTGAACACGTCCCGACTAATCAAAGATGGTTATCAAAACAATAATCAAACTCTAGATAGAGATACTAACCAGAGAATCAACTACTGAAAGATGAAACCAAATCAACTACCAATCCTTTTGTTTTCTTGCATAGCTAACAAGATAAGAACATAGCAAGGGATATTGTTCTCGTCCCTTGCAACAACTTTTTACCCAACCCACCCAAGTGCTGCTAATCATGAAAATTCTCAAAGAGAAACCCAATTTCCTTTAGTAAAAAAATAACTAATAAAAAGGGGAAAAAGGGAATGTGAACACTTTAATGCTTTGAATAAAGTAGTTCTCGAGGTGTCAATATTGACTGTGTACCCAACCCAAGAGCTATGGAGACTAGATCCAAACCCCTCGAACTTTATTTCGCCAACAGAGCAAGCCAATATGATAGGATAGGATGGTCTAGTTGGTGTCACGTAGTTTAAAGTCAATGCGCAGAGGGTCCAAATGGTTACAGATGAAACACACACAACAGTTTATTCAATTATTTGGGGTGGAAGAAGGACTGAGGTCCGACATGTAGCAGAGACCAACAGTATACACAATTACTCCCCAAGTCTTGTCTTGTCCCCCTTGAAGAATAAGGTCGCCCTCCCTCCTGGGTCGTTTTCGTAAGATGGTAAGTTTTGTGTGGCATGTGGGGTGTATGTGTGTCCAGGCATAGTGGCGGAACTCAATTTAGGAGAAGACAAATGCAGGAGAATCAGGGTGGGCGTGAAGAATTCTTGACAACAAAGAGATTACTTCCCCGACACAAAGACAAAAACTGGGAAGAGCTACCCCACCACCATCAAATTGAGTTCTACTTTTGGACTTTTTCTTGATTGCTTTTCATGAGAAGGCGTGATCTTTACTGATCAAAGTCTGACCCTACCTACCCAATGCTGTTCCAACGGAAATGACTCCAACCCTATGTTTGAACGCCGCGTCTGATTTTTTTTATTTCCTCCTCCTTTTTAAGATTAGGAATGACTAATGATGTTGTGACTTTGTTTTGAGCTTCCTTGTGACTTTGTTTTGAGCTTCCTTAAAAGGTCTCATGTCGGTATTCCTTACTTGTAAACCCAATGATCGTTCCCCTCCTAACCATCCTAACACCAAAGAGACAGAGAAACTCCAGAAGGACAAATAAACCCAAAAAATAAATCCCAGTAAATGACCCACTAAGAGGGCCTTGTATTGCTAATTAAAAAGTGGAAAAAGATGGTGGCGAATCCCTGAAATACGGTATATGATTATAGTCAAACAGGGAAGGAATTAAATAGACCCAAACAAAGAAAATCTGTGCCGTTGATATGGATGAGTGTAGAGCGTACCTGAAACGTATCCGTTTCAGATCATTCCCTCCGCGAGGAAGCGAAACGAATGTGATTAACACACCGGGTTCCACCTGGGCCACCCACTCCTTTGGTTCCTTTTCCTCAACGTAAACAACTGGGTCAACTCGCCGCCCACTCACTGAATTCGGGGTTCCTTCTCCGCTTGAAATCCCCTTCAGCCTCGCTTCCATTTCCTTCCCCCATGTCCTCGTTTTCGTCGAGCTCAAGCTCCCGCTCCTCTTGTAAGCCCACTTGATCCGGTCCGAGTCGGCGTCCGGCTGTGAGTTGCAGTTCTTGAGTCGACTCGGCGGTATCGGCCCTGCGCAAGGGTTGCAAGTCCGGTACGATCCTGAGGCTTTCAACGCCATGTCTCTGAGCTAGAAACAATGAACAAGCAAGGAATGTAAAACATAAATGCCCGCATTCCTGTCACGAGAACATGAAATTGGTAACTAGGAGAGGAAGAATTTGATCTCATAGTACCTGACCTGTCAGAGATTTGACAGACTGTTGCTTGTTTCCAGGTCCATTGAATGAGCCCGGTTCTTCAATTTGACTCAATGAGCCATCTCCGAGTTTCTTAGAACGAGCCATGCATGTCAGCATTTTCACCTCTCGCAGCACTTCTCCAGTACTCCAATTTCGAACAAGTTTCTAAAAGAACAAGATGATGGAGACTAGAATCTCTACTTTCTCCTCTAAAATTATGGATCAACTGTTGTGGTTCAATTTTGACGCGATGAACATAAGACGCCGCCGTTCTCCGCCGTCAGACTGATTCAATCCAAGCATAGACGAAGCACCAGTGATTCCCTGTAAAAAACCATATTTAATACTTGAAGGAATTTTTAGAACAGAGAAGAAGAAAACCGAAGGAACCTAGTGGAAATGGAAACAGAGTGTTGCTCCGGCGGGAAATGAAAAGGAGCGCAAATGAGTGTGAAACAAATTGTTGGTTGCCGGGCAATTGCAATTATGACATGTCTTCAATGTCCCATCGTCCTTACCTGCTACCGGCTATATACCGGTTTCTCTTGTGCGGCCGCTTTATTTCTACTTTTGGGTAACCTCGGCTTCTCAGAACCAGCGACCAAGCCCAGACTTAAGCCCGGCCCATTTCATTCCAGCCCAACTAAATTACTAGCTTAAAAAAAAAAAAAATTATATAAATTTTAAACAATATATTATTTTCCTTTTAATATTTGAAGGGTGTAAAATTAGTTTATAAGTTGAACATTTTTTACTCTAAGAAATGTGATTATCTCAAAAAGAACATTATCATAAGAAATAATTAATTATTGTTTCTAAAGTTTGGTACAAAACGTGTTTACAGAATGAATTATTGCATTATTTATTATTTATTATTATTTAAAAAAAAAAAAAAAATATATATATATATATATAGGTGTATTGAGGTGAGATTCCAGTGGCATTTTGGAAATTAAGGAGTAGCTAGCTAACTGGTGTCGTTTTCTGGACTTTATTCATCTCGGGAACAGGTGGGAAGAAGGGGCAATTTCGAAATTACAGCGAACAGGAGTGGCAAATATTATTATGCGGCTCACGCGGGAGGTGGAGCGTGGGAAGCACGTGCGGATATGGGAAAGCAACGTGTAGGGGGGCATGCAAATAAGGTAAAGGTGGGGAGAAAGCGAATGAGTGCGGGTGGGCGTAGCTTACACAGCTAACGGCGGCTGGGAGCGAGAGTGAATAAGGGCAGAAGATGGAGTAAGGCCGCGTTTGGACGTGAAAGTGGGGGCCAGATATACGAGGCATCGGAGGACCCGTGTGGTGGTGGGTGTGAAGAGAGAAGAATCACCCACTGCCCACTCCCATTGCGCTTCTCGTGTCTTTCAGTCGCCCCTTCCTCTGTTTCGTTTTTCACAGCTTAAACCCGTGAGAAAACTGTACGGACCGACTCTGAGTGCTGGTTTCTGACTCTCGAGAGAAGAAACCCCAAGTGGCGGGCGTCGTCGTCAAAGGAGACATGCTCCACAACTTCCCAACACCTTTCTTCTTTGCTGCTTAACTTCTCCGCAAACTGCTTTTCAGGTTTCTTTTATTACTACCGCTGCTGTTTTCTTTCATCGTCTTCCCCATTTCCTCTGTTTTTGCTGCTGCTTTTTGTTCTTGTCGGTATTGCTTGTGATGGATTGGATTGGATTGGATTCTCCATTTTTGGGGTTTAGAATCTTAGTGGAGCTTTGTTGATTGCTCATTATT